CAAATATATATTTTAAATTGTTTTATTCAATTTTTAAAAATAATATTTTTTTTATAATATTCTATGGGGGCCATAGTGCACATGGGCCCACCATGTGGCATAAAGGGTAGCACGCCCGATCCTCTTTGGATTCTCTTGTTTGCTTTTAAGATAAGGTTAGTTCGATTTGTGGCATGTGGTCAAATCTTGGAAGGGATATATTGATTATGGCTTTTTATATTTTGTAGCAAGTTTGTTTTAAAGAGATATGATGAATTTGAATTGATATGGATCTTATCTTATTTATATTTGGTAGTATTTATCTACTTGATATTATTTGATATATTCTTATGGAATATGTGACATGGATCGTACAATTTTATAGAATGCATGATATTTATTTCATTTAAATATATTGATGGGAAAATGGTTTAAGAAATGGGGCTAATGGTTCATGTACCTTCCATAATGTTGATGGTCCATCTATGGAATTGACAACTCAGATCTCTCACCTCACAAGTCACCCTTGATCGACGGTCTATGTTCAATCTCACAAGAAGAGACAAGCCAAAGAAAACCCTAAGAAACCCTAATCTTATTCAAAGCCTATAAAAAGGGATTGTCTGTACCAAAAAATCTCTACACATTATCTTTCTACTTCTTTCTTAAAAAAGTTTATCTCTCTCTCTCACATTGTGAAAGAACCAAATGGTTATGAAGTTCTTCTCTCCTATCTCTCAAATATGGATTTACGGCTAAAGGTTTTCGAGTTTAGCAAAAAAAGAATCCATCTCTTTCAAACTAGATCCCTAAGAGCATTCACCTAGGGTTTGAGTTGGTGATCAAAGGGGCTCGTGTTCTATTGGTGTGGCTTGGCCAAAATTTGCTTTCCCAATTCGAGATTGAAGTTAGACAGTTGATCCTGCGCCATCAGATGATAGTGCCTCGATGTGGGGTGTAATAAGCCCAGTTGAGGTAATCTTCAGCACTCTTCTTTTTGTTTCTTGCAATCTTATCTTTTATTCTTAAACATAGTGTATAGTTGTTTCAATAGCATCAAGTTGATATGATCTTGGTTTTATTGTTATGTTGATTTTATTTTGAAATTTATCTTATTATAATAAAGACCACTTGTAAGTGATCTTTTACCAAAAAGAAAGAAAAAATATATATATATATATTTCTTGGTAAAAAATCACATAGATCTTTCTTTCACAAACTACAATTGTTGGAGACTTTGCCATAGCAAATGAGCCACCAAGCAACTTCTTTAACCAAACTAAGCAAATATATTCTTAGGTAAAACCAGTCAATCCCAAAACTGAGTTGGTGGTGTGGCTTGATTTCCTGAGCATCTGGCTTGATACATTTGAACAAACTTGAGGTTTAGGGATTGTTCTTTAAACTAAAATGTTTATTCTTCGACTTCAAACAATCCTGCTGAAATTGTGGTGCTTTTAGAAACATGAAAATATTTGACAGTTAGCAGTTGATTACCCATGTTTTAGTGACATCAATGGTTTGGAGTGTCTTGTCGAGCAGTCCGAGCTTGTTGCCGAAACACGACTCTTGGCCGAATCCTAATTCAACCATAACAATTCAGATTGCCTTGAAATCAAGACAGTGAATGATTCTTGGTTACAAAATTTTTTCTCCTTTAATGGAAAAATGATTTTTATTTCCTGCTAGTCAGGATAATGTTGAAAACATATAAGAAGGTTTTGATTCTTTGACACTTTTTACCTTTTAAATTTGGCATGTGCCAAACATAGGAAGGAAAGCCAGAGAAAAGAGTATTGAATCTGCTGATCCTAGTACCTGCTCATTATTTCAGGATTTTAGAAGGAAAAAGTTTGAGTAAGGTTGAGGCCCTAAACAATCAAATTAAGGTGCACATCAAAAATTCGCTATAAAAAATTGCTTCAATGCTGAAAAACTTCAAATCCGATCATCTCAACTTTGAGAGATATGGATATAAAAAACAGACTTCAAGTCTTAAAATAGGGCATCTTATAATGCATTATCTAGCTCGTCAATTTTCAAGATTTTCAACTGTTCATAGATCGGTTTGATCCATATTATTTTTTAAACTTCAAAATTTATGACTAGTGCTGAAAATAAAATTTTAAACTATTATAAAGATTTACGGTATTGAAACCATTGTTTGAAAACACATGGCGATTTAATCGGTAACCCCCCGGTTAGATTGGACTGGCCGGTTCCAGTTTTGGGCAGTTTTGGTAATCGACCGGTATTATAAAAAAAACAAAATTTCAAAATAATGCAGATAAATTTTCAAAAATAAAAAATTTGGTATTATTTACATTATGGTAAAGATTAAAAATTGTTTTGATAATTAATACTCACTTTTTATATTTTTCCATCTTTTTCAGAAGATTTTAGAAATACCCTTAGGATTCTGTAAAATCCATTTTTTCATTTAATTTTTAACTTCATTTGAATGTGTTTTACTTTAATCGTTTTTTATATGCCTTTTCATATTGGAGTAGTTTTTTTTTTTGAACTTATCCACACAAAAAAATGATTTTTCTTAATTTTTTTTATTTTTTTCAACACTCTTTTTACAGCTTAGGACTTGCCTCGTTAGAACGATTGAATGAGCCGGTTTTCTAGTTGGGCTAGTTAAACCGCTTCGGGGCCTTGTCCACTTAACTATTCCGGTTCAATTTTGCGAACACCCATTGATTATTTAACAAACACCCATTGATTATTTAACAGTGCGATTGTTTTAGTCCTGGGTGTGGTTTGTATAGAGCCTAGGCTCTAAACAATCAAATTAGAGCCTACTTTCAAATAGTATCGAGAAATGTGGTTTCAATTCTGAAAATCATTGTGATATTTTCATCTTTATTTATAAAATTTAAAGCTTCAAAAACAGTGTAGAGCGATAGATCTATGAAAACTTGAAAATCTTTAAAATTGACAATCTAAATGTATTACAAAATACACTATTTCTAAAACTATTACAAAATACACTATTACTAAAACTATTACAAAATATACAAAATATACTATTTCTAAAACTATTACAAAATACACTATTTCTAAACGTTGATGTCGAGATGATCAATTTGAGGATCAAAACGACCCCTTCTCGCGAAATTTTTGAGGTAGGCTCTAATTTGATGGTTCTAATTTGATGGTTCAGAGCCTCGGCTCTATATAAACTTTTCCCTTTAGTCCTCTGCCTTATACAAACCATACCCACAGTTCAAAAGTACACTTCATATACACAATTTTACGGGTGTCCCTCTTCAAAATCTTGTGCAAAACCAGTGAATTTTCTCAATGTTTTGCTACAAATCTTGTTTTGCTACAAATCTAAGTAATGAAGTGAGTGAGACAAATATTGGGAAAATGTTTTGCTACAAATGTAAGTAATGAAGTGAGACAAATATTGGGAAAATGGAGTCAGAAGGGGGCCAAGAGAAAAGAGGTGGTACACCGCCATCTTTTTCCTTCCTCTCGCCTTTTTTATATCTTTTTCACTGTAAAATGTTTGGGCCACTTTGCATTTATCATGACTAGATATACACCTCAATATTAGGTGAAATTTTGGGGCATTTCTTGCTTTTTGTTGTTGCAATTAATTGATTTCTAGAAGGTCTTGTTGGTCTTTACTGAGAATGCCAGAAAAAGGAGCAAATTCAGAGAAACTTTTGTAAATTGAGCTTCAGTGCTCTTGATTTTGGATATATTTCATGCCAGTGATTTATGGGGCTATTTATATGTGGTTATGGAGGACATTTGACTTTCAGCCTATTCCTGAATGTTTTGAGAAATTTTGGGTTAGGGTTTGGTTCTTGTTTATCTGAAACTAACTTCAGTGCTCTTGATTTTGCAAATATTTCATGCCAGTGATTTATGGGGATATCTATATCTGGTTATGAAGGACATTTGAATTTCAGCCTATTCCTGAATGTTTTGAGAAATTTTGGTTTAGGGTTTGGTTCCTTTTTTATCTGAAACTAGCTGCATTGTTAATTGTTCTGAGTTGTACTTTCGTGATCATTTTTATAAATGAAGAAAAAAGAAAGAGGAAATTACACAATATTGAAAGTACATAAACTCTGAATATGTAAACATTAGGTAGATGGTTTTTTTTTTTTATTTTGGCCCCTATACTATCCTATCCTCTTCGTAGTACTTCTCTTCTTCCCTTGAGTTCTCTTCCATTACTACTCTCACTCTTTACTATCAGTGTTTATTTCAAAGCATGGTTGTAGAGAAAGTAGTCTTGTTATGTCACTTTGGGGGACAATTCATTGGAAATACGAATGGTGGGAACGCCTCATATGAAGGTGGAGATACACGAGCTGTAATGGTTCCTCGTGATATAAGTTTCAACGAACTCCAATCAAAATTGGCCACGATTTCCAGCCTAAGAGCCGGGTCATTTTCTATCAAGTATCAAGCCATTGGTACATCTTGCTTGGTATCTATCTATGATGACAATGATGTCGTGACCATGCTCTCTCTGTCTGTTGAGCAAAAGCCCATGTATGTCATTGTATGTTTTTAGGACTCATGCCATTGGAGATACTGCGAACACCAACAGGTATTATCTATGTGTCGCATTTTTTACTTTGCATTGATGGAATGCGCTTCATTTATGAACATATGAATAAGTCCATATGAATTTTCATTCTACAGTGTTGAACAGAGTGTGGGTTATGAAGATGGTGGTGGCACTGGGGACATTGTAAATCCACTACGATTGGCGCCGGCAGTGTCTAGCATTCTGGATCTTGAAAATACACAAAGATTAACATGAGGTATGTCTAGCAATCAAGATTTTGAAATTCCAGAAAGAGTGACACAAGGATCCTCCAGTGTTGAGAATCTTAAAACAACTCAGAGAGTACCACAAAGAGTGTCTCGTACTCGTAAAAGATCAGCAAAAGGACTGTCGGGTGTTGGGGAACACATTCAGGATTCTGAAATCCAGAAAGAGTGAGACAAGGATTATCTGTGAAACTCTTCAGATTGTATCGCAGGGTGTGTCTCGTACTCGTAAAAGATCGACGCGAGGAGTCTCTAGTGCTGGGGATCTAGAAACTCCTCAGATAGTAACGCAAGGAGTGTCTAGTGGTGGGGATTTTGAAACTCCACTAACAGTGTTGCCTACATTGGTCATTGGAGCAGAATTTCAAGATGCACATAGTTTTAGGAAAACATTGGTATCTTTTGCTATTTCAGAAAATTTCGCTTTAAAGTTCATAAAAAATGATGCCAGTCGTGTCACTGCAAAATGTCAGGCAAAGGGGTGTACATTTCATATTCATGCATCTCGTGTCTCTGGTTTAAAATTATTCAGAATTAGAACGATGAACCCCTTGAATACATGCGACAGATTGCTAAATGGAAGTCATCCTCAAGTCCAAAGTGAGTGGATAGCTGATAAGATAAAGCAACACCTCTAAGATAATCCCTGATACAAGCGAAAGGAAATTATGAAAGACATTCACCACTATTACGGTGCGCAAATAGGATATTCACAAGCTAGGCGAGGAAGGGAGCTTGCGATGAAGATTCTTCATGGATCATATGAGGATGCTTATCGCGTACTTCCATCTTATTGCCCAAAGCTAATAGACAAGAACCTGGGAACCATTGCCGATACTGAAGTAGACAAAGAAGATAAGAGCTTTAAGAGATTGTTTGTAGCCTTTCATGCAACAATATATGGGTTCTTACAAGGATGTTTACCCCTTATGATCCTTGATGAAATGTTAATTTAAACCAAGTATGGTTGGTACCTATTGGCAGCAATAGCTATGGATGCTGATGGTATAACGTTTCCTGTGGCCTTTGGCATATCCATGTCTGATGACGCCGAGAGTTGGGAATGGTTCTTAACCCAACTACAAGATGCTTTGGTTGGTCCTCAGAGAAATAGATTGACATTCATCTCAGACCTACAGAAAAGGTTACAACCAGTTTTGGAAAGAGTCTTTCCAAATTATTTTCATGGGTTTTGTATGGAATCTTTAGCTGAGAGCTTTAACAATGACTCGAAGAATTGTGAGCTGACAAAATACTTCTGGAAAGTAGCTCGTGCTAAGGCACTTTTAGAATTTAATTCTTGAATCGCTGAAGTTTGAGCTGTTTCTTCGAGAGCGGCAGTTTGGATTGAGGGAATTCCAGTAAAATTTTGGGCTGCAACTTATATTGAATATGAGGTACAATCACGTAACATCTAAGCTTTTGGAATCCTTTAACAATTGGATTGGGGAATCACATCATCTCCCCATTGTTAGTTTGTAGAGAGTTTACGTATGAAGCTGATGCAACACATACACAAACGACGAGAGCTCAGTTCACAATGGCCTTCAAAGATTGTTCCTAGTGCCGATGAGAAGATAAAAAGAAGAATGGCGAAAGCTGATTGTTTTCGAATCTTTCGATCCAATGGAACCCAATTTGAGGTTTTATCAGATAGGGTGGATGTGGTTAATTTGGAATGTCGTGAATGCACTTGTCAGAGGTGGCAGCTTAGCGGGTTGCCTTGCTCTCACGCTTTGGTGGCTATATATTCAAAACAGGGCACAATTTCTGATTATTGTTCTCACTACTTACATGTAGAGACTTAACGAAAAACATTTTTGGAGACTATACACCCAGTGCCTGATAGAACGCCAATGCCTGAGGTGCGAGATTGTGTTGTGAACTTACCTCTTGTAGTTAGGCAAAATGAGAAGACCAAGAAGAAACAGATCAGGAGTGGAAACGATGAGGTCAGGCCTGTGAATTACAGTCAATGAGAAGGTGTACAATAGGCAGACTTGCAAGGGAAAAACCTAGGTTCACATATGCTTTATTTGTGTTTTCTTTTGACCAAATATAAATCAAGGATTGTCTAAACTGTAATGGAATGTGAAAAGTTCCCTCTCTCTCTTACACGCACATCTTTCTCTCACCCACACAAACAGAGATTTCTCTCACCCACACAAACAGAGATGTGTCCATGGCACTCAAGTCATCCACATTGTATTGTAACTGCTTTTGTTTTTCCTCTCACTTAAAATATCTATCTGGTTCTTCTTCTACTTCTTTTTTCCAAATAATTCAAGGTAGTTTATGGGTTCCATTTTCTTCTGTTTTTTTGACGTTCTCACATATGCCGTATCAAATTCGTAATGTTATTTTTTGGTAAGCGCTTCACCACAATTTCTTTTGTGTGTTTCTTGGTTTCCACTTATTGTTTATTGGGGTATAAATGTTTAGATCCTAGTTTTAAAATCGTCTATCCGGATTGGAAACTGGTTGGGATTGATCTTGTTTAGCCGGAACCAGGAACCGGTCTGGTTTTGAGACTCACCTGGAGGACCGGGCAAATCTTGTATGGAACCAAGCAATCTAGATGGGTTGAAATGCCCCTTTTCACCTATTTCATTTTAAAAAGCTATTTTATTTTTTCAGATCTAAAATTAAAATTAAATTATTTCGAATCGATTTCTACACTTGAGATTGGTCAAATCCAGCCTGAATCGGCGATTTGAATCTGTCCAATGGGTGACCGACCGATCTGGCCTCCCCGTCTTGTTGGAAAACATTCTTTAAGAGTTCAGATAACTAGATCATTATTTTTGCTCTGAAACCGGACTTTTTTTACATTATCCATAATAGTTTGAGGAATAACTGCTCCATTGAATGGGATAATATGAGAAATATATTTCCTTGTAAAACATTCTAAGAGACGGACACGGAAGGTTCGCATTTTTTCCTAATCCAAGAGCACTAACGATTTCAAATGCATCGAGAAATAAAGTTTAGGAAAAACTTTAAATAAGGTTGGAACCTAAAAATGTAGACTTATACGAGCCTCAAAAATTTATTGGAAAATGTCGTTTTAATGTTGAAAAACGCTCTAATTGATCATCTCAACATTGAGATGTATGTATATAAAAAGTAAAAAAAAAGATTTTGAGTCTAAAAAATAATGTATTTTGCAATATATTATCTAGACCATCCATTTTCAAGATTTTTCATATGTTTATAGATCTATATGATTTTAACCATTTTTAGAATTTAAAAATTTATAATTACATATGAAAATGGATTTTCAGATAAGCCTAAGAATCTTTTACACTGAAATTATATGTTATGATAAAATTTGGAGGTGCGCCTTAATTGAATTGCTTAAGGTTGCAACCTTATAGAAACCACACCCTCAAGTTTAAGGGATTGTCAACATTTATCTTTCGAAAATTGTGAGTGCAAGAGCCCCCATTTTTAAGATGGATATTGTATAAAATGCATGGGTCAAATCAAATATGGATGGTGTAAAAATCATACAAAAAAAAGTACGTTTTAAAGTTCTATCTTTTTTTTTTCTTTTTTTCTTTTTCATATTTATGATTGTCTTGCATTAGATGATGAATCTATAAAATTTTAAATCAAAAATCCATTTTTAAGGTGGATTTTAGAGGGGGGAACACATGTACATAGGAGTCAGTTGCCTCATGGAAACGCCATCATTTATCTCTTGTACATAGATGTCACAATCATTCTTGTCTCGGTGGTTATAAGAGTGTCATTGAATAGACACATAATTCCACAAAAAAATTTCTGAAACTTCGTGACTCATTCCAAACAATCCAATGTGACATCTAATTAGTGGGAATGATTATGACCTCCATGCACAAAAGATAAATGGTCTTTTTATAGATAATCTCGTTAAGTTAAATACGAGGCTTCCTTTCTAAATCATTTCTATTTCATTGAAGGAAAAAATTTATATAAGGCTTCCTTTCTAAATCATTTCTAATTCATTGAAGGAAAAAGTTTATTTTCATCCTTATATTGTACGAATAAGGTGCAGCTAAAAACTCCACTAGAAAAGGTTGTTTTTATCCTAGAAAACTCTCAAATCGATCATATTGTTCATCTTCTAACACATCATATGGACTGTCCACTTTCACGATTTTCAAGTATTTATAGATCTGCTTGATCATCACCAGTTATAAAATATTTCATAATTGGATGCAACAATAGATTTCATATCATCGTAAGGCTTAGTGGCACGAAACTGCATTTTCAACATAGTTTTGAAGTACACCTTATTTCAATATTATAAGGTTGACACCTTAAACAAACCTCACCCGTCATTGAAAAAGGGATTAGTCTACTATTGAGTCCCTTGACTCAAGGAGTCTACCTCGGTTGTTTACGGATTTAAGATGTAAATGACATTTTAAAGTTCTGGAAATATATGTTTGCTATGTATCCATTTTTTTGTAGCTCCAAAAATAATGCATATTTGATGGTTTATGAAGAAGTAAAATGAATGGTACAAAATAATTAAAAAAAATACCATGTTTATATTTAAAATATATTTATTTTTCAATATTCGTAATCACTGTATTCGAAATTATTGAAAAAAAGACTAATATGATCTTGCAGGAGAATATATTTATTTATTTTCGTCCATTTTTTTTGGGCAAAATATCACTTATAAGTAGTCTTATTACAATTACTATTTTGCTTCAAAGAAAATAAAACCAACAAATTAAAGATCTTAGAACCTTGATGCCACTAAATCAATTTTTTTAAACAAAGAAAACAACCAATATTTACTATGCATGAGAATATACATATAATATAATTAAATGAGGAGAGAAATTTTGGTTTAGAGATTTCATAGGGAGATGTCCTTTATATATAAAGCCAGAATAGAATAAAGGTTTTTTAGGACTTTGCATGGCTTGCCTCTTTAGTGAGATTGAACATGAACCATTGATCTTGGGTAATTTGTGGGGTAAAGGATTTGAGCCCTCCATTCCATAGATGGGCCATCAACATTATGGAAGGTACTAGAACCTTTATTCCACTTTCCTAAATTATTTTCCTATCAATAGAAATTAAATAAAATCATTCTAAATATAATATAGTGCATACCATAATGATGCATATGCCTTCTCATGCTTTCCAAAAATTCCATTCAAAACTTCCTCAAGCCAATTCCTTTCCAAAACACGTAACACTTTGACCACAAGTTAAAATCTCCTTTCTAACAAAATAGAAAGCTCCCTAAATGGGTGGGGTGTGCCACCCATGAGAGGGTCTCATGGGCCCCACCATTTAGGCCATGGTGGGCCCATGTGTATAATGGGCCCCCATGCAATTTTAACTATTTTAAAATTCAATAAAAGAATTTTTAGAATTTTTTTGAATATTTAAATCAATGTAAAATCAATATCTCTGATTTTATAAATCCAAAATTGATAAAATATTCAAAGATTTATAAAAATTCAAATAATAATTCTAAAATAATGTATACCATAAAACAATTATAATTAAATTCATTAGATGAGAAAATTAGCTATATGGTCTAATAATTAAATCAATAAACACCGAGGCATTCCACCTTTAACTGTAGACTACATACCATATTTGCTTTATCAAATCGACTCAATGTCTCCTATGACCTGCAGTCTATGCAGCGGCTCATTAGTGGGTCACCAAAGTCTGGCCAATGAGCCAAGGGGTCATAATCTCAGTTTGTGGATTCCAGGTTCTCCCCTAGCGACGTTCTAATGTCACCTAGATTTGACCACAGCTCTTATGGTGCATAGGGGTATCTCTCACACATGCATAAGCTTCATCTTAAAAGGTGGTTCACTTTCCCGAATGGCTATCATTATGCATGCCGTGTGATGATACATGGATGAGGGTTTGGCCTCTGCCTTTAAAAATGACCATCACATATAAGGGTCACACAGTTCTTCGACTCACTCATCCAGGCATACTCCGGCCTCATCAAAAGATGACCTATTAAAACCATTATCGGATAGTTTTATATGCCCAGGTAACATAGGTTTTTCCCAACTGACTGGCTTAGCTTGTCAGCTTGGTTTGGTAGCAAACATCATTTGCTTAGTATAGTCCATGAGGGACCACACTCCTACTGAGTTCATGTTCTATTATATCAAAATATTTCACTCATAAGGCCTTTAATGGCCACACGTGGGATTTTCTACTCATAAGCACGACATCTTGGGGATTCTCTACTCATAAGCACGACATCTTAGGGATTCTCTACTCGCTGGTTCAGCTAGTTCATTGTCTTCCTTTACAATTTGGCATAGTAGAGTAGGTTATATTTTTTTTCCTATGTTGAAATATTTAGTGTCAACTGGCAAGTTGGGATTTGTACAAACCACAAACATTGTTGGTAGCATTAATTGTAAATTGGCAAAACATATTGCACTACCATTTTCTAATAATGAAATTGTTTATTCTTCTTCTCCTTTTGATTTCATACATTCTGATTTGTGGGGTCCTGCTTCTGTTCCATCCATGGGATGTGCTCGTTATTATGTTGTTTTTGTTGATGACTATTCTCGTTACCCCTAGGATTAGTCGTTACATTCTAAGTTAGACTTTTATCAAATTTATGATGAACTTTCTACCATGATCAAGGAGTTTTCAAAAACTATTAAAATATTATGTTCTGATTCTAGTGGAGAATCTTTGTCAAAATCTTTCAAAGGTCTTCTCAAGTCTCATGAAACATTGGCTCAACTATCATGTCCTGATATATCACAATAAAATGGTGTTGCAGAACGTAAACATCGTCATATCATTGAGACGGCTCATACCTTATTGCTTTCCTTTTTTGTTCTGCATAAATTTTGGGGAGAGGCAGTATATACTTCTATTTATGTCATCAATCGTATCCCATCCTCTATTTTTGGTGGCTTGTCTCCTTTTGAATGTCTTTATTCGTGTAGTCCTGATTATTCACAACTTCATATTTTTTGATCAACATGTTTTGTTCTCTTACCCAAATTTGAACAAAACAAGTTGTCCAAGAAATCATCCATTTGTTTATTTGTAGGTTATGGTCTTCAGCAAAACATTTCACAGAAACTTCGTATTTCACGCCACGTGACCTTCTGGGAAAGTATACCATTTTATTCTCCTCCACGATTTCTTCATCTTTCTCATTCATCTCTTGAGTCCAATCAATATTTTAACCCCTTCAGTGACTCCTCAGTTGATCTTGTAGTATCTAATGTCCCTCTTGTCAACTCTCAAGAGAACTTTCAAGAGAATAGAGAGATTAGTCCATGTATACCATCAGAGCCCAACCTAATATGCCATGTCCTGATTATGTGCCTCCTAAGAGCGATCTGCAACCTCCTCTCCCTGAACGTCGCTATCCTACACGAGAGCGTTCTGCACCTCAGCATGTTCATGATTTTCATTGCTTCATAACCATTGTTCTTGCTCTTCATGAGCTTAAGACATACACAGAAGCTATATCAGATCCAAACTGGTATAGCAACCTATGGCGGATGAATTAATTGTTTTACATAAAACTCGTATCTGGGATCTTGTTGATTTACCCCTGAAAAATCTGCAGTCGGTTGTCAATGGGTCTACAAAATTAAAATTAATTCAGATAGTATAATTGACCGATACAAAGCACGATTAGTTGCAAAATGCTTTACTCAATAGTATGAGTATTGACCATGAAGAGACTTTTACACCAGTTCCTTGGATAACCTCAGTGCAGACCTTAATTGTTGTAGCTTCTATTCGTGATTGGCCCTTGTATCAAATGGATGTCAAGGATGCCGTCTTTCATGGCGACCTGCATGACGAAGTTTATATGAAACCTCCTCCTGGTCTCCCCCATCCGCCTCATCAAGTTTGCAAGCTTCGACAATAATTTTATGGTCTCAAACAAACACCCCGTGCTTGATTTGAGAAGCTTTACTATGTTATCACTATATGGGGGTTCATTCAAAGTGTTCATGATATTTAACCCCAACTGGAATCTTGGACAAGATTTACAGGCACAGGATACGTCTTTTCATTATGGGAAAAAACATTACGTTAGTATTTCGTCTTCTAGACGCCGATTCTCTAGAGGATATTGTGGGAGTTAGATGTTGGTATGCATGCTTGGAGAGAGGTCTCGAGACACCCTGATGCTCCTATGGACCAGGAAGCTGAATTTGTTGTAGACATTGGTCGAATATATGTGGTCGAATGTTCAAAATATTTGGGCATTTGATTTCCTAACTTCATGTGATGTTTCATATTTGACAATGAAGAGGAGCCATATCACTAGAAAGCATGAACCTGTTGTTGTCGGGCTCCCTTCTGATGTCGGATCCTTGTTTAGCCAAATCTGAAACACGTCTCTATATCCACCTTTGAAAAAATGGCCTATGAAAAGAGCCTATCTACCTCATCTAAAAACCACCCTTGTTCCTTCTTTTGCCTCTAGATCTTGATCTAATGGTTCAAATCTGTCTGAAAACGCATCGTCTAATACTATCATTGACCCTCTAAAACTCAACTTGAAAACACCCCTCTGGAATGATTTTTTTTTTATGATCGATTTTTCTATTACTCTTTCATGTATGTTCTCTGTATGATCGAGTATGTTGTCATGTTACTTGATCATGTCTGAACTGGTCTGCAAGAGCTACTAAACTGGTCTAGAGCTACTGAATTGATCTCGGATTTAAACTAAGTTATATTGGCTCTTCCAAGTACCATTCTGTTTTCTCAACTGTCTCGACTGTTGTTTTATCTCTGGTGAAGATCTGGAGTTTTTTGTCTGATTGCTCAAGCCTACTATGATATGATCATCTGTTTCTGAGGCTTGTTGATCAAGCAATCTGAACATGGTAAGATTAAGTGCCTAGGCATATCTTGATTATGATAAGATTAGTTAGTAATTATCAATAATTGTTGGTATCTATCTAGAATTGTTATTAGCCATATATTTATATGTGGTCTTGTATATTCTTTATCAAGCCTTATATTTATATGGGGTCTTATATATTCTTTATCAATCAATACACAAAGTTCTCTGTGGTATTATGAAATTCTATAAAGAGATTAATGCATTGGAATCATAGGAGAGACCTTTATTGAGTTTCAAGTCCAGATCATAGGTTTCTAGTGTACTTAGAATTAATCCTACACTTAAGCTCCCCTAGTCCATATAAAATACGACCTTGTCCACTCAAAGCACACGTTATTATTAAAAGGGTCCACCAACAAAACTTTTTCTACCTACAAAACTTTTTCTTTCATCACTAATTTTTAGTATTTATTTTCTTTCTGAATTATTAATACAAAATCCCTTTAAACTAAGTATTTCCTAATTTTTAATTTATTAACAATAATCTTAAGGATTACATCAATAGCGCAAATAGATTCATAAATCAAAGCCTAGCTTTCGAATATCTTGGGGCCTTTGAGGTAGTACTACCAAGCTCCATGATGAAGTTTCGGACTCTATTTTCACTCAAAAGTAGAGACCCAAATCCCCACTGACTTACTTTTTTTAAAATATTCCCACCTAATTTTTTTAAAAAAAACTATTCCTTCCTAAACTGAAAAACATTTCCCCCCTTGAATGCTCATTTAAGCTTTGGAGAAATAATGAGCAGATTGGATGAGGTCCAGGTAGAGAGGACAATTAATTTTTAGATTTGGTGAAGATTTGGTTAGACCCAATATTTGGTTAATTCGAGACGGACACACATGGCCCTGTTTTTGAGGAGAGCGAGGCATCCTTTTACGAGGATAGAAAGGTGAAGATCCCTTGCCACCATTCACTTTTGGCCGGCCGGCCGGCCACAACTACATTTGGGGTTGGATACCATTTCACTATTCTCTATCTTCATTCACAGCTTTTTTATAGCGAGTGTTCTCTATTTTAGTAGATTAGTGGATAGGACGTAGAGAACAACAAATATAGTACATGCTTCAAATCTCAAAAAAGTGAAATAAAATGGAAGAAAAGAAGAAAAATTACCTGTATATATTAAAAAAATATATATTGCTTAACCATATGACTGAGGGTGGATACTCATATCAACTGAATTACCATGGATAATTGCCTTGATTGTTGGATTTCATATCCAATTTCTTATGTTTGTGAAAATTTGCAGCAATTACTTACTTTGAATAGGGTGGCAATGGACCCAATCAGACTCAAGACCCGACGGGTAGACCCGACCTCGGGGTCCGGGTATGGGTCCAAATTTTGGATCCGAATACTATTTGAGTCCAGGTCAGGGTCCCCATACCAGTAGTCGTAGGGCATATGATGACAATCATGTGTCTTTAGGTGTGTGTCAAATGTTTATATTTTCACAATATCGGCAACATTTACATTATTATTGGAAAAAAAAAAAAGCTCATACTCATAAGGTATATGATGATAAAGAAAAAACTCATAATCATAAAGCGGGAATGGATCCAACCCGAGACCCGTCGGTCCGGGTATGAGTCCAAATTTTGTACTCGAAAGCTACCTCTAACTTTGAAGCACATCCATGGGTGATTTCCGACGAACGAATGTATTAAGTAATGTTATCTAATTTTTCCTCTTAAGCTCGCCTGATATATATTGTTTTCAGCTACTTAAGCCTTCTTCGTCATCGGCTTGCGGTTATCCAACATTGATGAAAATATTAGAATGGATGAATATAAGATGTGATTATGACTTTTGAAATAAGTTTTTTTTTTGGGGGGGGGGGGCTAATATTAGAATGGATGAATATTAGATGTGATTATGACTTGTTAAATAAGTTTTTTTTGGGTAAGTAAAAGTGGTAAGTCAGGAGATTTTTTTTGGCCCGTACCCTTTGGTGATAATGGAGTATGAAACATCATCATGAGGTTTGGCAATACTACCGTCAAAACCCGAAACCATTCTCAAACTTGTGAAATAAGCTAATCTACATTTTTCTTTTAAAATTTCCTATATAAATATAAACAATAAAAAAAGGTTATATAAGGTTACAATTTTAAAATGTAGAATTAAAGATGCACCCCAAAAATGCAATGAAAAAATGTTATTTTAATGTTGAAAAACGTCAAATTGATCATCTCGACATCGAGATGTAGAATAAGGGAAAAAAAAAAATTTGAGTCCTAGAAATAGTGCATCTTGCAATAAATAATCTAAGCCATCTATTTTCAAGATTTTCATATGTTTATAAATCTACTTGATTTTAACCATTTTTGGAATTTAAAATTTTATAGTCAGAGATAAAATAGATTTTCAAATAATCCGTCTATTTTCAAGATTTTCATATATTTATAGATCTACTTGATTTTAACTATATTTGGAGTTTACAATTTTATAATTAGAGATAAAATAGATTTTCAGATAATTCTAAGAAGAATTTATACCAAAATTATATGCTATGATAAAATTTGAAAGTGTGTTTTAATTGGATTGTTTAGGTTGCAAGGTTATAGAAACCGCATCCATAACTAAAATAGTAATTTTATGAATAAAATATTTAGATTAATTTTAATTTTTTTAATTGACCACTTTTTTTGGATGATGAACTAACCCTAAATAATTAGAAAAAAAAAAACAAAAAAGGGCTTTAATGAGATGATTTGGATCATGGATGTTACATCAAGTGCGGGTCCCTCAAAGCATGCAACAATCGTTGTTTGTGATATTCTCGGGGCAGTGCCTGTAATATAAACTTCTAATATCAAAAGGATACCTTCTGAAGACTTTGAATTCCCAATTCGCCCCCTCGCAACCCTAAGCAAAAATTAGTGGCTTTCCTCCATGTTTTGCTGCAAATCCCTGTGAACGAGAATTATTTAGAAAATCTTGGGAAAATGGAGACTGAGAAAACCCAGAAGAAGCAGAAGGGAACCAAGAGAAAAGAGGTACACCATCTTTTTCCTTTTCGTTAATTTTTTTTTCTTTTTTTGCCTGAAAAATTTTAGGGCCATTGCATTCATTGTGGCCAAATATGTTTGTATTAGGAGAAGTTTTGGTATATTATTTGCTTTTTCGTATTCAAACTGGTTAAGTTTTAATAGATCATGTTAGTCTTTAATGGGAATTCTGGCAAAAGGAGCAAAAGAAGAAAAATCATGTGAAATGAGCTTCATTTACAAATATTTCATGCAAGTTTTTGGGGCTATTTGTATGTGGTTATGGTGAACATATGGCTTGCAGGCCATCTCTGAATGTTTTGAGAAATTTGGAGTCAGGTTTTGCTTCCTTGATGATGTGAAAGCTTTTATTCTTAATAGTTGTGGGGGCTTCTTTTTTATGATCATTTGCCATAACATAAGTGAAGGAAAAAAGAAAGACGGAAGTTACTAGATTGTAAAGTACATGTATTCTGCGTATGTAAATATCAGTTAAATAATTATTTTCTTGGGGGGCTATTGAAAAAATACATTCATAGGAGCTCTTCCTCAGAAGTCCACTTATTTTCCTGACCCATATATGAAATTAGGTAAATTTCACACTGATACCTGGAGAATTCACCTATCAAAATTGGGTGCTCTTGAAAACTGAAATATCAGCTATCTTCCTACACTGAAAACTTTTCTTCCTCTTGACCCCACTCTCAGTACCTCCTCTACTGTTCTACTCATGGTACTTGTCCTCTTCCCTTGAGCTATCTTCCATTACTACTCTCACTCTTTACTACCATTATTTATTTCAGAGCATGATCGAAGAGAAAATATTCCTGTTATGTCACTTTGGGGGACAATTCATTGGAAATACAAATGGTGGGAGCAATTCATATGAAGGCGGAGATACACGAGCCATTATGGTTCCTCGTGATATAAGAAGTTTTAGTGAACTCCAATTGAAATTGGCTGAGATTTCTAACCTCAGAGCCATATCATTTTCTATCAAGTATCAAGCCTTTGGTGCACCTTTCTTTGTATCTGTCTATGATGACAATGATGTTGAGACCATGCTCTGTCAATTTAGCAATAGTTCATCTATATCATTGTACATTTCTAGGACTCTGGCCAACAAAGATACTGTGAACACCAACAGGTATTGTCTTTATTTCACACTTGTCGTTGATGGAAATCAATTCATTTTATAAACATGTGAAAATCCTCTATAAACATATGGATAATCCTCTATGAATTTTCATTTTACAGTATCAAACAGAGGATGGTTGATGAAGATGGTGATGCTGCTGGGGATATTGAAAATTCACTAAGATTGACACAGGGAGTGTCTAGCATTGAGGATTTTGACAATCCAGAAAGATACACACAAGGATTGTCTAGTGTTGAGGATCTTGAAACTCCGCAGAGAGTGTTGCAAGGGGTATCTAGTGATGGTAATTTGGTAACTCCTCTGAGAGTGTTGCAAGGGGTGTCTAGTGATGGGGACTTTGAAACTCCAGTAAAAATGTCACAAGGAGTGTTGCCTACATTGGAAATTGGGACAGAATTTGAAGATGTGCGTAGTTATAGGAAAGCATTGGTATCTTTTGCCATTGCTGAAAACTTTGCTTTGAAGTTTATAAACAATGAGTCAAGACGTGTGACTGCTAAATGCCGGGCAGAGGGGTGCACTTTTCGCATTCACGCATCTCATGTCTGTGATTTAAAAAAGTTCAGGGTTAGAACTATGAACCCCTCACATACATGCAAGGGATTGCTAAATGAAAGTCATCCTCAGGCCCAAACTTACTGGATAGCTGATAAGATAAAGCAACACCTGAAAGATAATCCCCAATACAAACCAAGAGACATTGTACGAGATATTCACCGCGAGTATGGTGTGCAAATAAGATACACACAAGCTTGGCGAGGAAAGGAGCTTGCCATGGAGGATATTCACGGATCGTATGAGTATGCTTATCGCATGCTTCCATCATATTGCCAAATGCTAATAGACGCAAACCCTGGGACTGTTGCCAATCTTGAAGTACATGAAGAAGATAAGAGTTTTAAGAGATTGTTTGTTGCTTTCCATGCAACAATTTCTGGATTCTTACAAGGATGTCGACCCTTTATAACACTTGATGAAACATTATTAAAAACTAAGTATAGAGGGGGGCACCTGTTGGCAGCGATCACTATGGATGCTGATGGTGTAATGTTTCCTGTGGCCTTTAACATATCAGTTTCAGATGATACCGAGAGCTGGGAATGGTTTTTAACCCAACTACGAGAGGTTTTGTTTTGTCCTCAGACACATAGACTGACATTTATTTCTGACCGACAAAAAGGGTTACAACCAGTTTTGGAAACAATTTTTCCAAATGACTTTCATGTGTTTTGTGTGGGATCTTTAGCTAAGAGCTTTAACAATGACTTGAAGAATGGTGAGTTGACAAAATACTTTTGGAAAGTAGCTCGTGCTGAGACTCTTTTAGAGTTTGATTCTCAGATGGCTGAACTTCGAGCTGTTTCTAAGAAAGCAGAAGCATGGATTGAGGGAATTCCGCCAAAATTTTGGGCTGCACCTCATGTTGAAGGGATGAGGTACAATCACTTATCATCGAAGCTTTTGGAATCCTTCCACGATTGGATAGAGGAATCATGTTATCTCCCTATTGTCAAGTTTGTAGAGAACATACACATGAAGCTGATGAAGCACTTAAATGAACGACGAGAGCTCGGTTTACAATGGACTTCAAAGCTAGTTCCTAGCGCAGATGAGAAGATAAAAAGGAGAATAGTAAAGGCTCGTTCTTTTCGAATCTTTCACTCCAGTAGCAATCAATATGAGGTTTTATCGGATAAGGTCGATGAGGTAAATTTGGAACGTCGTGAGTGCACTTGTCAAAGGTGGAAGCTTAGCGGATTGCCTTGCTGTCATGCTTTGGCAGCAATACATGCTAAACAGGATGCATTTGCTGACTATTGTTCTCCATATTTCAATGTAGAGACTTACCGAAGCGCATTTTTGGAGACTATACACCCAATACCTGATAGAACCACACAGCCAGAGGTTCAAGATTTCGTAGTAAACTTACCTTCTATACATAGATCAAATGGGAAGCCCAAGAAGAAACGGATCAAGACCGGAAAGAGTGACGTCAGGCCTGTACATTGCAAGCATTGTGGAGGTATAGGGCACAATAGGCAGACTTGCAAGGAAAGAGCCTAGGCTGGGATATGTTGTTTCTCTTGTTCTCAAGCCAATGTTAATCAACGATCGTCAAAACTGTCATTGAAGGCGATAAGTTTGTCAAATCGCTCTCTCATGTGGAGGATTGTGAATATTTCAGCTTTCATTTCAGTTTTTCATTTTATTTAACTTCAGAAGGTTGATGCCGGACTAGTTGAACCAGTAACTCTTCCATTAGAGTGTACATGAATGAGACATGGATCATAAAAAGTGCAAGCATTTTTCTTCTACTTGTAAGTTACTGTCGATAACAAATGTTCACAGTTACTATAAGTAGAAAGTTACTTAGCTAGTAGCAACCAAGATGCCCTCCTCTTGAACCCCTTTATGTTCCTTAGTTTCATGGATAAGAAGCTCTTTTCTTCCTCATCTCCACCTTGTAACTGTTTCTGTTTTCACAATTTAACCTCACATAACATGATATGGGCAGATCGGGGAACTGCTAATCAAACAATAATGTTAACTTCTGATTGATGATATTTTGAGTACAATAATGAATAAAGAGGGTTTGACTGAGTAATGTGGTCGGATGATTTGAAGTGATGCTCTACGTTTTGCTGACTCATATGAATATTGCTTTTTTTTCTTTTTTTGGGGATACAGAGCCAACTTGTTATGTAAATTATAAAAATACCAGGTTAATGTCATAACTAAACATTGACGGTTGAATCAACATGTCATTTATACAAATGGAAATTTTGATTCAACAAATTGCAACGAGTTAGACAATGACATCATCATCATCATCAGCAGCAGCACTAACACCAGCACCAGCAGCATCAGAGCCTTTTCCCAACTATTTGGGGTCGGCTACACTACCATTTTGCTCTATCAAGGGCCATACCCTCAGTGAGGCCCGAAGTTCCCATATTTTTTTCTACTACTTCCAAACCATGTCCTTTTGCCACAGTAACATCCTATGGCAAATTGGTGACCTTTGTATTTCCTTTGGGGCCCCTTTTTTTGTATTACTATACAATGTTAACATCATTAAAAAAAAAAACATCCTATGGCAAATTACCTCTTAACTGGTGATGCTCTAAGTGTAATAATAACAAGTAAATTGGCCCTGATTGACTTATTTGTTCTTGTAATGGGAAGTACCGCTGTATGTTCTGCTGACTTGTATTTGGGTACTTTTTTTATTTTCTTTTTTTCATTTATCAAGGTAAATTGAGATTCTACTGCTGAACATCTATTGTTGAATCAACATGTCAAGAGTCCATTTTGAAATTCTCTGTCCTATGGTAATACATGTGGATGATCACCAATGCACATATCATGCTAGGCAAAGCTTTTGATAGAGCATGTTCAAGTTGCAATTACAGAGAAAGGCATTGTGGAGCTCTCCTATGTTCATTACTCATTGCTAGGTCTAATTGGGAGGCTTCCATGCCCCCGCTTTCTAGGTCTCTACCGGCAGCAGTTATGGACATTCATCTCTCTCTCTCT